TGGGCTGGGGACTTGCTGGGGGCCCTGCCGGGACCTGGGCCCGGGCCCGCGCCCGCAGCCCCAGCGCGTTGCCTAGGAGACGGGGCTGGGAGCTGGCTTGGAGGTTCCCACCGGGCCTGGGAGCGTCCCGGGACCCCCTAAGGGTCTGGTCACCCCGCTCCGGGCCTGGCAGCATCACCAGGTCCCCTTCAGGGCCTAGGGCCCTGGTTTTCAGGGTAAAGGGGTATCTCTGCCCCCCCTCTTAGTGCCTGGTAGCTTCTGGGGGCTCTCCTTTCAGGTCTTCAGGTCCAGCCTGTGAGGCCAGCCCTTGCAGGCTGCTATGCCCCCCCTATCTCTGGGCTTCGGTGACTTGAAAACAGCCCTTGGTGGCTGCTTTGCATTGGCCACTTGAGTTCACGGCTGTGTGTGGCATTTGGACGGTGCCTGTGCAACACCTGTGTTGTGCTCTGGCAGGGAAATGTGTGGTCTGAGTCAGGGTGCCTCTGTGGTAAAGGGGTTAATTTTATATTGTGCTGTGACTTCAGTGTGCTAAGGTTTGTGGACTCATAGTATTGAAGGGAAACGAGTAATCCATAAAGACCTCGCTCACTATGTTATGTGTCTCTCACCTTGGGTCAATTGCCCTGATTTCTATTAAGAGGTGTCATATTAGAATGTGGGCTTGGCATCAGACCTAATGTGGTTTGCTGCAATGTTTACCAGGACTTGTAAAAACCTACATGTAACGTTTAGTGACTTAAATGCTTAGTGTTCAGAATTGAAGACTTATTTTTTCATCCTACTGACAGGAAGAAGAAACTCTGTCCTTTATCAAAGAGAGCCTTGAGAAGAGTGACCAGCTTACAAAGAACATGGTAAGGAGGTCCTTGAAGTTCAGCCCTAATGTTGGGCCTGGGTTTATTTTTTCTTAGGAGAATCCGTTTTCAAGGCTGTCCTTGTACCCATCTGAGGAGTGCAGAGTAATGAATTGCTTGCTCTGCATCTATGTCTTACACTTCAGTGGCTGGGCAAAGGAGAAAACTGATGAATGTTTCAATCCTCAACTTCTCTCCTGGGGAGATGAGGTCTCAAATGAGCTGTTGGGCTCATCTCTTTACAGTCTGTCCTCTCTCTAGGGAAGAGGTGTTAATAGAGCCCAGACTAGTTTGTGCAACAGCATCATGTTGTTACTTCATAAAGTCAGGTCTCATTTGGAGTTTTATTTTGGGGGTGTTCTGTTTAAGAGGTAGAAAGTAATTATTGTGCTCTAATTGCTCATAAGCCCTCAGCTAGTATACTTTGTCCAGTTTTGTGCTCAGTGCTTTCAGAAAGTCATAGAGATGCTGCTAGAGAAGTGTGGAAAACACAACATAGGAGTCAATCTTGAAAGAATTATATTTTGGCCTAGAAAAGATGACATTAAGGCACCCTTTTTGAGCTTACTAAGGTTTTTCACCTTTCAGAAGCAATTCACAGTCCCTTTTAAAAACCAAATGTCATCATAGGATGGAAAAGAAGGTTCTCACTATACTGGTTCTGTGCCTTCATGTTGTGCATCTCATGTTTGGGTCTTAGTGGTATGGAGCAAAGTGGCTGCTGGTTTATGCTTTTGTTGCTCTTTTTACCTAGGGCACCTCCAGGCAGTTCCTGTGGATTTGTTTTCTGCTGTCAAATAAAATTTTGCTCCTCCTGAGTACTGTCTTGGAACATTACCTTCACACTTTACAAACATTTAATTCAAGATTGGCCCATCTCTGTATGGCAGGTGGTCTGTTTTGTGATTGTTAACAGAAATTGGGACATAGAGGGATTAAACAGCCCACATAAGGAGCCATGGCAAATTAGTAGCAGAGCCCAAAAAGAGAAGCTGGGACCTGAAGGTCCCTGATTGCCCTGGTCCAACTACTGCCCTACTGCATGGATCCATGTGGAAGGATGTCCTCAGCGCTCTGTTTCTCTCTTGGTGTGTAGGTTTCTATCCTGTCCTCCTTTGAAAGTCGTTTGATGAAGCTGGAGAACTCCATCATCCCTGTCCACAAACAGACAGAGAACCTGCAGCGCTTGCAGGAGAATGTGGAGAAGACCCTGTCCTGCTTGGATCACGTCATCAGTTACTACCATGTGGCTAAGGACACGGAGAAGATCATAAAGGAAGGGTGAGTTGAGCAGCTAGATCTTCCTGGGGAGCTTCATCCTATTGAACTTTTGGGATAGAGGTAGGAGAGCTGACCCCCCACACATCATAATTTCCTTGTACCCTTCCCACACTCTTTCCCCTCCATCAGTCCACAGTAAAGCTGTCTGACTTGACCTTTAGCAATCCCCAGAGGGCAAAGTCTGCTCAGACTCTGCACTGGTGTCTCTTTCAGGTTTTGCAGACATGCTGCCGTATTAATCTCATGAGCATTGGTGGCTTCTCTTCTTTCCTCCGCTCTTTTCCCAAAGGTTCTTCCTGCCCTGTTGATGTTTTTGCTTCAGCCAGGATGAATCAGGACTGTTCTGGAGCCTGCTTCCAGTCTCTGGAAGTGTTGTGATGGCCCTTCTCTGGGGTGGGATGTGCAGCTTCCTCTTCCTTCCCATCAGGGCATGATTGGTAGAGGAAGGCAAGGCTGAGAGTTGTGTGCTGCTCAATCATCAATACTTCTGCACTTGCTGCATGGATTGGGTATTCTGCTGTGGCATTGACTGGAGGCAAAAGGGAATCCCATGATCTCCTAGTTGAAGAAAAGGAATTTAAATTTTCCTTGTTATTTTTATCCTGAGTTTGGTCTGGTGCTTTCTTGGTATCTTCTTTCTTTGCTTCTTGGGGCACTGCTTTTTATTTTTGGTTTTATTTTCAGCCCCACTGGAAGGCTGGAGGAATACTTGAATTGCATGGACAAAATCCAGAAGGCAGTGGAATACTTCCAGGATAACAATCCAGACAGCCCGGAGCTGAACCGTGTGGTAGGTCATGGATCTGGAACCTGGCATCGGTGAGAGAGGGACAGACGTAGCCCTGCTGCTTGCCCTCTTGCTGTGAGAGTCTGACAGGCCTGCTGCCTGGTGAAGAAGGTGTTTGGGCATAGCTGAAGAAACGATTGTTTTGGCTTCTATTTAAGTCTGCACTCGGCAGCATTTCTGCTTGTGGCGTTTTGCGCACTCTGTGCATTGTTCCAGTAGGACTTCTGAAAGCATATCTTGCATGTGTGGTGGAGTTGATTGAACCTCCTCCTGAGTAGCTCTTGTCAGTCCTTCAACTCCTTGAGCAGAATGGGAGATCTATTTAAATCCCACTTGAAGACTGAGCAACTCCCAAGCATTTTTTTATTTAATTGGCTTTAAAAGTCTCTTAGTTAGAGGCGTTGTTGGAGTTTGAAGCATGCAGTACTTGACAGTGGTTAGAAACGCTGCAGAAAGTACGTTCTTATGCAGAAATACTTGTGAGTGGCTTATTACAGAAGCCCTGTGCTGCTTCTGTCCTTCTTCTGTTTTGTGCCAGAAATCCCTCTTTGAGAGGGGCAAGGAATCCCTGGAATCAGAGTTCCGCAGCTTGATGACACGACACACCAAGCCAGTCCCACCCATTCTCATCCTGGACCTGATCAGCGGGGACGATGAAATGGAGACGCAAGAGGAGATGTCTCTGGAGCACCTCCCGGAGAGTGTCCTGCATGATATCATCCGCATTTCTGGCTGGCTGGTGGAAAATGGCAGGAATCAAGGTTGGTAGTGTTGCATGTTGTTCTCTTGTAGTTCTGTATCAGGTGAGTGCACTCCAACTACTTACCACACGTGGTTGAGACCAAAAGCAGGTATTGAGGATCGTGTGCAGCACTGCACAGCTTGGCTTGTAGGTCGCACACCTTCAGCCATGAAGCCTCTGCTCAGGTGCTGCTATGGCTAACAAACCATGAGTCACACTTTGTTTGGTAGCTAGCAGCACTAGCAGAACTAGCAGAACTAGTGACTACCTTAGTGGCACCTTTTAGGTGAGTATCAGTCTCCTTTCAATCACCTTAAGATTCTGCTTTTTGGTTTTTTTACAGCATTTGTAGTGGGACTGAAGTGATGGTTTGTCAGTTGAACAGAATGATCTGGTGGATATGATGATAGAAAGAGCTGTGTAAATAAAAGCACAAATTATCTTAATGCATAGTCTGTCCTATATCAGAAATCCATTTAATTTGCATCTGTAATGCCTTCTGATGGAGCTGCAACTATTTAGTACTCAGGTATTATAAATGTGCAAGACACTGGTCGCTTATTCCCATTTGGGAACTATTTATGAACAGAACTTGTTGTATTAAATGTGACCAAGGGTGGGGAGAAAGCAGCACAGAAGATTTACTTCAGTCAGTACATGTCTCTTCTTTCCTGTTTTGCAGCATCAAAATCTGCCTACAGCTTTATATGCCTTTATTAACTCTTCCTTTGTGGACTTGTTACAGGAACCCTGTACTTTCACATACATATAGATACTAGAATCACCCCCCACCTCAATGATTTACTTCTGAGTGGGGATTACTGTGCTTACCGAATATGATGAACATCTTTAAAAGCTTCTTAAGAATTTTTCCATGATCAAAGGTGACTCAAGCATATATAGCATATTTTTTTAGTCAGTTTTTATTCTGCTTGCAAATGATGAACACCTCATTTAGTTCCTGAGTGCCCTGAATCCTGAGAAGTGTGTCGAGTCTCTCATGCTAGAAACTGAGCACTTGAATTGACGATGTCTTGCACAAATGTCTCCTGTCAGTTCCGCAACTGATGTGCTCTTAGTTGTGTGTGGTGGGAGGGCTGGAATGAATACTGCAGGAGAAGAAAAAAGAAGTTTTTGGAGAAAATAGGAGAGGCTCTGGGAGGGAAGAACACTTTCTTGGGGTCCCACATCAATGCTACTAAGTCCCGTTAGGGGCACAGAGTGTTTCAGGAAAGATTTGTTTTACCATATAGTATTCCCTGTTTGCTTATAATCTTGTTTCTACCTTGTCTCCTTAGATTTCATGACTGTTTACTTCCAAATTCGCTCTGTCCAGCTCGACCGCTCCATCAAGGGGCTGAAAGACCATTTCCGTAAGAACAGCTCCTCCACTGGGGTGCCATATTCCCCTGCCATTCAGAACAAAAGGAAGGACACCCCCACCAAAAAGCCAATCAAGAGACCGGGTGAGTCCCTGAAGGGGGGATCACTGTACTGTGTATCCTCTTGCCTGGGGATTGAACGCATATCTGCTGTCCTTCTCACTGCTGAGGTAGCCTCTGTTTCTAAAATGTGCTTTTAGGACAGGAGCAGGGGTGAGATTTTGGAGATAAGCACCTCTTCTCTGCCCTGGATTCAGCATTGAGATTACAGACATTTTCTGTCTCTGTTAAGTCATCAGGTCTGTTCTCTGGGCAATATAAAGGGAGGAGAGGGGTCCTGTGTATGGGGAGAGAAAAGGCCATTGCCTTAACAAAGGAGATAAATAAAAAGAGACCTGAGTGGACTATAAAATGATATGATCTGAGAACACCTGTCCTCAGCTTTGGAATACGGAATATAGGCTGTGCCACAGCAAAATAGAAAACTCAGATCTGATAAAACACATCACTTGAATCATTAGCTATGAATAAATTATTATTGTGCTAGGAAACCAAGAACTCATCAGGAGTTGAGATGGGGACTTAGGTAGGTGCCTACAGAAATGAGATCCAAAGTTGCTTGAATTTTGGAAGGGCTGTTAAAGCTTTAGCCTCGGCCTGTCTTTGGAAGAGCTATGAATGTGGCTGGTGGGTTATTCCACCTCTCCCCATAATGGAGTTTTGCTGCACTTTCTGCAGCTGGTCAGGCCCGTCACTCCACTGTACCAGAGTGCAGATCTGGAGTTCCCGTCTCTGAAATGTGCCATCTAGTGGGAGCATGGCCAGAAGGAGGGCCAGCAAAAGCTAGAATGTATGTCCCACGGCAGCACAGTGATGTTGTCCCTCTGTGTGTCACAGCACCCTGTTGTCTCCTCTGTAATAGTGATGAAAGTCAGAAAAGTTCATATTTCTGTGGGTTTACCTGGCCAATACTCTCCCACCCTAATATTTTTTTCCTGTGTTGTCCGAATACTCTTACTGGGTTCAGGAAAATAATAAGAAATGTGGATAGGGACTGGGAATGGATGGGATGGGGAAAGGGAGAATAAGAAATACCCATTTTAATTATGTTGTGTTTATTTTTATAATCCTGATGTGAATGCAGTCCTCATCCCAGGTAATGTGTATCTATGTGTGCGTGTGCTGGCCCTGGTGCTCGCTCTCTTCACTTCTGTGTGTGGAGAGGCTTTGCTGGGCCTCTTCTTGCTAAAGCAGAGGGTGTGCCTGGGATATTTGGAGAGGGAGGGCTGCCTGGGGAAGGCTGTGACATCCAGAGATCACACCTCTGGTCTTTTAAAATCATTCTGCCATTGCTGCTGTGCCCTGGAGCTGTTCCTGAAAGCTGATGTGCGAGTTGCAGTTGGTGAATGCAGTCAGTCTGTGAACTTCAGTGGATTTTCCCCTGTCAGCAGAGAACCACAAAACAAGGGGATGTCCCACCCCACACTTGGCTTTCTTCTGGAGTTTGGCAGGTAGCTATTTGCATAAGAATTTGCCCTCAGTGTTGGAAGACCTGTAGAGGACAATATCCTCCTGCTAAGGAGAACTAGCTGTGCTGCAGATGGCAGAAAAACAATGTTTAAAATTGCTTCTAAGCATGATGGCAGTCATTTGTGTTTGGCTCCTGAACAGTGGCTCCTGCCCAACAGCATGATTACAATAGGTAAAAATTATTTTTGTGTGGTTCAGTAGCTCACTACTAGAAAGATGCCAGATGGGGATCTGTAGTTGAACCATGGGGAACTCAGGTTGCGGATGCTTCAGATTTGGTCCACAGTTCTCAGTTATCACCTGATACTGAAAAGATCCCTAGGTTTTGACTGCTGTGAAGTCAGCATGGTCAGCAAACATTTCTGAGCAGCCTGCCAAATGGTAACATCTACCCTGTGCTCTAGGTAAATAGAGATAGAGGAGCATTTTTTTTTTTCATGGACAGATTAAAAAAAAACACTAGGATTTTTTTTAAAGAGTCTCAGATCTTGGATGCTCACATAGAGAGTACGGAAAAGAGCCCACACATTTGAGAGCACAAGCATTTGTTCCCTACAAACAGGGCTCCTCCAAAATGGATGCATTTGGGCATCCAAAATTACTTGTCATGATGAGTGTCTCAGCTGTAGATTTGCCAGGAGACTTTCATGTCTTTTTGCCCAGTTTAATTGGAGCTTGTGAGATGGGCCAGGTAGAAGGCACAGAGCATGGTCTGAATGCACTTACAGAGCTGACAGTGTATGAA